TTAAAAACATAAAACGCACACTGCAATTTAAGAATGAATTATTACGCTATTTGTTAAATGAGTATTAGAGATGTATACCTGTAACCTCCATGCCTGTCCCTCGTATTTTTTCTGTCCTTCCCTACTGTTTCTTCCTCTTAATTATTTTCCTTCTCTTTAATTATTTGCCATATTGTGGTGTAGAACATAAGCTTTGTAGTGTTAAGACTCAAACATTGTAATTTAACCTATGGTTATATGTTTGATTAAATAAATGAAATGAAAAAATTAAAGATAAGCCGCAATAATGCTATTTCGCTGAGAACGCATTAAAAAACTAATTCGGAAAAAAATTTGGATGGGGATGCCACCATTCGAAAAAAAAAGTTTATATATAAAAAAGATTGCTTTTATGTGCTACCGCATCACTCCAAAACGGCTCACCGAATTTGCTTCGTTTTTATTTAATTTTGTTTCTCTCTGTCTGTAGAAGGTTTGTAAAGAAAAAATTTCAAAACCGGTGTTGCCAGACGTCTGAGAATGCATAAAGAAATTTAATAAAAGAAAAAATTCGAATAGGGTTGGCACTACTCGAAAAAAATCTTCACATATAAAAATGAATTGCGGTTCGTTTGTTACCGCATAACTCAAGAACGGCTCAACGGATTTACTTCGTTTTTATTGAATTTTGTTTCTCTCTGTCTGTAGAAGGTTTGTAAAGACGTCTGAATTATAAAAAAAAAAATTTAAATAAGCCGCAATAATGCTATTCCGCTGCGCAAGTATGAAAACACTTAAAACAGGAAAAAATTTGCATAGGGTTGCCACCATTCGAATAAAATCTCATGTCACGGTGTTTGTGGTCAACTCCTCCAAAACGGCTTGACTGATTTGTATGACATTTTTTGTGTATATTTGGAAATTTATGAAATCAACCGCATACTCATGGAAAAAATTGATGTTATTGGAAAACCGAATTTTTCATGCCGCATATCTCTGGAAGCGTTCATGGTAGGGTACTGGAACTTGGTATGGAGATATATAAAATCAATTTAGAAAATGGGCGAAGAAGGCGAGGTATCTCCTATAAAAACCAAATTTTTCATACTGCATATCTCTGGAAGTGTTCATGGTAGAGTACTGGGACTTGGAGAAAAATTGGAGCTATTGGAAAAGGGGGCGTAGCACCTCCCATACGAAATTAATCGCATACTCATGGAAAAAATGGATCTTATTGGAAAACCGAATTTTTCATGCCGCATATCTCTGGAAGCGTTCATGGTAGGGTACTGGAACTTGGTATGGAGATATATAAAATCAATTTAGAAAATGGGCGAAGAAGGCGAGGTATCTCCTATAAAAACCAAATTTTTCATACTGCATATCTCTGGAAGTGTTCATGGTAGAGTACTGGGACTTGGAGAAAAATTGGAGCTATTGGAAAAGGGGGCGTAGCACCTCCCATACGAAATTAATCGCATACTCATGGAAAAAATGGATGTTATTGGAAAACCGAATTTTTCATGCCGCATATCTCTGGAAGCGTTCATGGTAGGGTACTGGAACTTGGTATGGAGATATATAAAATCAATTTAGAAAATGGGCGAAGAAGGCGAGGTATCTCCTATAAAAACCAAATTTTTCATACTGCATATCTCTGGAAGTGTTCATGGTAGAGTACTGGGACTTGGAGAAAAATTGGAGCTATTGGAAAAGGGGGCGTAGCACCTCCCATACGAAATTAATCGCATACTCATAAAAAAAATTGATGTTATTGGAAAACCGAATTTTTCATGCTGCATATCTCTGGAAGTGTTCATGGTAGAGTACTGGGACTTGGAGAAAAATTGGAGCTATTGGAAAAGGGGGCGTAGCACCTCCCATACGAAATTAATCGCATACTCATGGAAAAAATGGATCNGCTTGACTGATTTGTATGACATTTTTTGTGTATATTTGGAAATTTATGAAATCAACCGCATACTCATGGAAAAAATTGATGTTATTGGAAAACCGAATTTTTCATGCCGCATATCTCTGGAAGCGTTCATGGTAGGGTACTGGAACTTGGTATGGAGATATATAAAATCAATTTAGAAAATGGGCGAGGGGAACAGGATGCAAAGAATATTTCATAGCGCTAAGTGAAGATGGCGTGGCGCCTCCTATAAAAATNCTGTGATAAAATTTGTGGACACTGCTAGGAACTTAGGGGTCTTTTTTAATAGAACTTTGTCATGGAGTACCCACATTAACAATACAATAGGCAAGGTTCATGGCATGCTTCGGTTTTTATGGACTACGCAACACTTTACACCAGTGAGAACTCGACTGCTTTTAGCAACAACTTTTTTGTTACCAACGTTATTGTATGGCTGTGAACTGTATGCTAGTTGTGACAGTGTGTGTCGTGGTAAACTTAATGTCCTCTATAACACCATCGCAAGGTATATCTATTGTATTAAACGTCGTGATCACATTTCTGTTTTTGCCACCCAAATTTGTTCGGTACCGTTTGATGACTTACTAAAACTAAAATGTCTTACAATCCTTCATAAGGTCATTACAACTCAGGAGCCCAAGTATCTTAAAGAACGGATTCAGTTCACTAAATCGTCTCGATCACTTAATATACATAATATGAAATTCAGTTGCTTAGTTACAGAACGACAGTTCTTTGTTTTCGCTGTCCGTCTTTGGAATGCTCTGCCTCATAAAATTAAAAACATAAAACGCACACTGCAATTTAAGAATGAATTATTACGCTATTTGTTAAATGAGTATTAGAGATGTATACCTGTAACCTCCATGCCTGTCCCTCGTATTTTTTCTGTCCTTCCCTACTGTTTCTTCCTCTTAATTATTTTCCTTCTCTTTAATTATTTGCCATATTGTGGTGTAGAACATAAGCTTTGTAGTGTTAAGACTCAAACATTGTAATTTAACCTATGGTTATATGTTTGATTAAATAAATGAAATGAAAAAATTAAAGATAAGCCGCAATAATGCTATTTCGCTGAGAACGCATTAAAAAACTAATTCGGAAAAAAATTTGGATGGGGATGCCACCATTCGAAAAAAAAAGTTTATATATAAAAAAGATTGCTTTTATGTGCTACCGCATCACTCCAAAACGGCTCACCGAATTTGCTTCGTTTTTATTTAATTTTGTTTCTCTCTGTCTGTAGAAGGTTTGTAAAGAAAAAATTTCAAAACCGGTGTTGCCAGACGTCTGAGAATGCATAAAGAAATTTAATAAAAGAAAAAATTCGAATAGGGTTGGCACTACTCGAAAAAAATCTTCACATATAAAAATGAATTGCGGTTCGTTTGTTACCGCATAACTCAAGAACGGCTCAACGGATTTACTTCGTTTTTATTGAATTTTGTTTCTCTCTGTCTGTAGAAGGTTTGTAAAGACGTCTGAATTATAAAAAAAAAAATTTAAATAAGCCGCAATAATGCTATTCCGCTGCGCAAGTATGAAAACACTTAAAACAGGAAAAAATTTGCATAGGGTTGCCACCATTCGAATAAAATCTCATGTCACGGTGTTTGTGGTCAACTCCTCCAAAACGGCTTGACTGATTTGTATGACATTTTTTGTGTATATTTGGAAATTTATGAAATCAACCGCATACTCATGGAAAAAATTGATGTTATTGGAAAACCGAATTTTTCATGCCGCATATCTCTGGAAGCGTTCATGGTAGGGTACTGGAACTTGGTATGGAGATATATAAAATCAATTTAGAAAATGGGCGAAGAAGGCGAGGTATCTCCTATAAAAACCAAATTTTTCATACTGCATATCTCTGGAAGTGTTCATGGTAGAGTACTGGGACTTGGAGAAAAATTGGAGCTATTGGAAAAGGGGGCGTAGCACCTCCCATACGAAATTAATCGCATACTCATGGAAAAAATGGATCTTATTGGAAAACCGAATTTTTCATGCCGCATATCTCTGGAAGCGTTCATGGTAGGGTACTGGAACTTGGTATGGAGATATATAAAATCAATTTAGAAAATGGGCGAAGAAGGCGAGGTATCTCCTATAAAAACCAAATTTTTCATACTGCATATCTCTGGAAGTGTTCATGGTAGAGTACTGGGACTTGGAGAAAAATTGGAGCTATTGGAAAAGGGGGCGTAGCACCTCCCATACGAAATTAATCGCATACTCATGGAAAAAATGGATCTTATTGGAAAACCGAATTTTTCATGCCGCATATCTCTGGAAGCGTTCATGGTAGGGTACTGGAACTTGGTATGGAGATATATAAAATCAATTTAGAAAATGGGCGAGGGGAACAGGATGCAAAGAATATTTCATAGCGCTAAGTGAAGATGGCGTGGCGCCTCCTATAAAAATCTAATTTTTCATACTGCATATCTCTGGAAGTGTTCATGGTAGAGTACTGGAGCTTGGTAGGGATATATATGAAATCAATCGCATACGTGGCACCTCCCACACGAAATTAATAGCACACTCATGAAAAAATTGGTTTTATTGGAAAAGGGGCGTGACACCTCTCATACAAATCGAGTTTTTCATAGTGCATATTTCTGGGTGTATGAACACAAGTCAAGTACTCTACTCTACTTAAATAAATCGAATTTTTCATACTGCACATCTCTGGAAGTGTTCATGGTTGAGTACTCGAACATATAGTAGTATAGAGAAAATTGGGGATATTTAACAAGAGGGCGCGGCATCTTCCAAAAGCTGCTGAAACTATTACCAATCTTTGAATGTATATACATTTGGCTTTATTTTGTTATTAAAACCAATTTGCGTTGAATTTAAGTTAATCTAGTTTATTAAATTATATCTCACAAAATTAGGTTTTGCTGAACACGTCTGAATTGTACAAGGTGATAAGGAGAAGAAGAATTAAAAACTCAAGGGTAATACTAATGTTACAAATTTACATGACATATTATAAAAGGGTTAGAACAGGGTGCCACAGTACTCCTCTGCTAGATGGAACTATCGTTAACGAAAGGGTATGTTAATTCGTCTACCACTGCGAGTAGGTTTCATCGTAACGTGCGCCGGTAGATATATCGCTAGATTCGTCGCTTGCTATGAAAGCTGGTTTGAGCCGATCTATTCTTACGTTGGTTGGGCCACCTCGTACTAGTAACTTAAAGTACTTCGGCGATTTCTTGACCACAGGGAACAGTCCATCGTAGGGTTGAGTAAGTGAAGGACGAATCGAGTCGTTTCGCAGGAATACGTGTGTGGCTGATTGTAGCGCAGGCGATACGAAAACTTTGGAAGTTGTATGATGTTTTGTTTGCGTAGGCTGTAGCTTCATCATTGTTGACTGAAACTGCGATATAGTGTCTGTGGTAACTTTCTTACTTTTTGTTTCTTCTAAGAATTTGCCGGGAATACGTAATGTTGTTCCGTAACCGAGAAAGGCAAGGCAGGTATTAATGTCCGGTTTGATGTGGCGAAACCGCTCTTTTGGAGGCTCGTACATTGCAGGTTTGGATTTGGTATGTCGTTGTATTTTAGCGCATTGGCAGTCTAGGCAATTACGGACGAATGTTGCGTTATCTTTTTTAATATTCGACCAAACAAATCTCTGTGTCATTAGTTTCACGGTCGAGTGAACACTGGGTGTGATAAGCCATGAACTTTTCGAAGAAGGCTTTCGCGAAATTCCTTCGGGATATACGGACGGACCGTTGTTGTTGAGGTATCGCAAACCAACTGTTGAGTGCTGTTGCGAATAGGAAACGTTTTTAAATTCAGTGAACTATTTTGCGTACCTGACTTGTTAAGCAGGTTTTGCAGATATGTATCGTTTTGCTGCAAAATTGCAATTTCGTTGTAGTCGGTAATCTTGCCGATAGTCTGCAAACGTGAAAGTAGGTCGGCCGTGATATTTTTTCTGCCGGGAATGTAGCAAATATCGGTGGAGAATTGACCTACGAAATCCAACTGGCGAAGACGACGGGGCGAAGCTTTTTCGGGTTTTTGTTTAAAAGCGTAGATCAAAGGTCGGTGGTCAGTCACGATGTAGCATTTACATCCCTCGATCATGTGGCGGAAGTGGCAAACCCCTTGGTATATAGCAGCCAGCTCGCGGTCGTAGGTGCTGTAGGACCGTTTGGCGTTGCTCAATTTTTTCGAGTAGAACCCGAGCGGTTGCAATTCTCCATCGACGTGTTGGTGGAGTGCGGCGCCAACGGCTGTATCTGATGCGTCAACGAATAGGGGTAATTCCGCGTTGGAATCGGGGTGTGCCAGAAGCGTTGCTTTCGATAGTTCTTCTTTACACCGTACATGCATCCTCTGCTTCAGCGTTCCACGTTATTGGTGTGCGGTCGTTTTTTTTGCTGCCGTCGATGACTTGTTGGAGGCACGTTTGGTAAGACATTGCATTACGCAAAAATTTGCGATAAAAATTAACCATTGCTAGGAAACGTTTAAGTTCTTTTGCAATTGTAGGTTTGTCGAAGTTGCGAATCGCATCAACTTTTCGAGCAATGGGTGTATTCCACGAGCGTCGACCAGATGGCCCAAGAATTTTAATTCGTTTTTTCCGAATTCACATTTCGACGGATTGATTGCCAGATTAAAATCACGTAGACGTTGGAAAACTGTTTTCAAATCGCGACGGTGCTGTTCCCTTGACTTAGAGGCGACGCAAATGTCATCGATATACGGGAATACAAAATCTAACCAGCGTAATGTTTCGTCGATTAGCCTCTGAAAAGTTTGGACGGCGTTGAAAAGCCCGAACGTCGTGAATTTAAATCAGTGATTCCCAAAGTGGTCCAGGTGGACCCCCAGGGGTCCACGGAAGACTCGACAGGGGTCTACATTGGCGTGAAAAAATATGGGGGTTCACGGGTTGTAAGTGGGGGTCCACGAAAATTTATCTGGTCTCGATAGTAAAGAACCAAAATGGTTGCTTGATAGCCTATTTATTTAGCTTTAATGTATAGTGCTCTTGACGCACTGGTGAACTTACCGTCACTTGTGTCATCATACGTGGGGAAGCCTTAAAGGCCACCTGCGGACTAAAAAGAAACGGATGTTGGTATAACACTGAGTGAGGCGATGTGGAAATTGCCGGCGGAAAATATTTGAGCACTTGTACGTTTTCAATGCTACAGGATAGTACGACACCATTACCTTTGTTGAGAGAGAGCGAGTTCCCTGAGGGGAAAGCTGGTTTAATTCCAGCACTGAGCCCACATTGTCAAATCTTCACTGATGGCTCCAAAACTGTCTACAGGTACAGCCAAGCTGCACTTAAATCATTAGCCAACCCTCTATCTAAGTACTTCCAAATTAGTTCGGCAATGCAAGTCTCGACTAATTTATGTTGCTAAAGATAACGAGCTTGCTTTACTCTGGGTGCCGGGCAACTCAGGGGTGCTTGGAAATGAGACATATGACCCTTTTTCCACAGTTGGCTTAGGTCAGGCATTCCTCGATCCGCAACCAGTTATAGCACTCCCCACTTCGGCCATCGAAGCCACCATTAGAAACTGGGTAGATACTTCGCTCAGCAATGACTGGAAGCCATCGAGTGGATGCGGTTGGAAAAAAAAAAAAACAGTAAAGTTTTGAAAGGGGTCTACGAGAAAAATAAGTTTGGGAATTTAAATTCATATAAACCGAACGGGGTCGTGATTGCGGTTTTTGCGATGTCGTCTTCGTGTATGGGCACCTGGTGGAATGCTCTTTGGAGATCAATTTAAGAAAAAAAAGTCTTACCTCGTAGATTTGCAGTGAAGTTCTTTAAAAACGGAAGCGGATATCTGTTGGGAAGCGTTGTTGTTTGGCGCGGTAGTCGCCACATGGTCTCCACGTTCCATTGCTATTTTTTACTAGGTGCAACGGACTTTCCCAGGTGCTGCTGGATGGTGGACAGATGCCTGCTTTCATTAAGAATTCAAATTTGCTTCGCGCAGCTTCCAACTTGTCGGGAGGTAGACGTCGAGGCCGGGAAAATACAGGTTCACCTGTATTTCTTATTTGGTACACTTAGCTGTGGACCTCTGCGGCGATAGTTTAGTAATATCCGAGAATTCGCCTAATAAAGCTGAAAATGGGTCACGCGAGTCGAAAGTTTTGATCTCGATTGCCTCCTGCGTTGAGCTATGAGTGGTGCACGCAGTTGTGTTACGTTGTCGATGATTCGGTTGCGATGTAAATCAACAAGCAAATCGTGGAAAAGGATAAAATCTGCGCCTATTATTGGTCATGTGATGTCTGAAATTACAAAAGACCATTGGAAATTGCGACGTAGTCTGAGGTCTAAATTTATCCGCTTTTCTCCGACGACTCTAATAGGGGAACCGTTTGCTGCGTATAAAGTTGTTGCTGTCGGTCTAACGTCATAAGTCTTAGCGGTGAGCGGGAGTACGGACACATCCGCACCTGTGTCGATTAAAAAATTTTGTTTTGACTTTTTGTCTAGCACTTGCAGTCGGTATATTTTGATAACTTCTGTATGGTTGATGGCGTTAACCGAGGCGAGGGAAGATAGTCAATTAGTTGACGATTTGGCTGCGGGAGTAGCTGTTGTTTGATTCTTACGTCGGCAAGGGATTCTGCATTTCCGAGCGTTACGGCCATACCTTTGGTGCTACCAGCAATCAGCAGAAGTTGTGTTCGATGTGCCAGCGACGTGAAAATGATCGCGGCTGGGAGAGTATCGGCGAGAATTGGACTGCATGCGATTACGTGAGCGTAAGCGGACTACCAATTTTTCGAACTTGTTGCTTAATTCCCTGACAGCAGCACGCATCTATAATAGAATCGGCAATTCGCGTGAATTCTGCGGCTAGTCCTGACGTTGCAGCAACGACAGGTTGGGCAAATTCGGGTAGGCGTTTCGTCCAGAGACCTTTTAGTGCCGCTTCTCCCAGGGTACTGCCTGCTACTTGTCTCGTCTGTTTTTTCCTTTGCGGTGGTAATTCCGGAAGCCGTAAACCAAAAGTCCATCGTAGTCAACCAAGCTTCGATATTGGTGCTGGAAATGGTGGGTACCGGTAATCTGGCGTAAACTACGGCAACCGTGTCTGCCGCTGGTGGTGGCGTACCAGTGGTGGCTGATAAACCACTGTCCGTCGTTGTATTCGGCATGGTTATATAACCTCAAGCGCCGTGCCTACGTGTTTGCCGTTTGAAGTAAGGTGGCGTGATTATCCAAGTAAATGTCTGGTTAATCGGGAAACTTTTTCGTCGGGGTCACCAGTTTTGGCTTTATTTTGTTATTAAAACCAATTTGCGTTGAATTTAAGTTAATTTAGTTTATGAAATTATATCTCACAAAATTAGGTTTTGCTGAACACGTCTGAATTGTATAAGGTGATAAAGAGAAGAAGAATGAAAAATTTAAGGGTAATACTAATGTTACAAATTTACATGACATATTAGAAAAGGGTTAGAACAGGGTGCTGCATACATATAATATTCGTATGTTTGTGAGTGAATCGATTTTAACGAAATTTTTTTTGTGTGAGTAAGGTCTCTTCGTAGTTGTTCAGATTTCCAGTTTGACCTGCCAGGTGGCGATGGAGTCGTGTTATTGTTAAAAATGTCAGTTATGATCCGATCTGGCTTATATTCGAGATACTTATATATTGGTAACGGTAAGGGCAATACTATTGCAAAAAACAGGCGCCGGGTGACGCTGGGTCGAGTTGTTACTAAAAATCGTCCAGTGAGAAAGAGTGCCGTGAACGTCCGATTACATCGACGTGCTGTACCACCGACAGCGTTGCCGCCGCTTACTAAGATTAGACGAAAAAGTTACCAAATGTAAGGAAAAATATCCAAATTTTTTATTGGGTTAACAATTCAGGTCATAACAAATTCTTTTTTATAATACGTATAGAAAAAGTTTACAAACTAGAAGTTTTCAACTTCTTAATGAAATACCTAATGAACGTGAACAACCACATTGTATATATTTTTAGATTAAGATTAAGCAATTAAAAATTGGACTTATTGAACTACACCGTCGCTCAGCGCGAAATACCTCGTATACGCCAAACGTAGTACCGCGTATACGATGGTAAATAAATTTTACAAAAGTGCAAAAAACCGATTTTTTCAAAACTGTGGAATGGTATTTTCACTGAACCTACTTGCTATAAGATTATTATTATTAATCTTAACTTAAATTAATAAAGTAAGCAGTAATAGAAAAAGAATAACCAAATCCCTTTTTTATTGTACATACATGACGTGGTATTGGATTCCGCATATACGAGGTATTTATATATGTACCCACAGTCGCCGACTAGCATTCGACCCGAGCAGTTGTGTACGGAATCGTTCTCTCGCTGACTTCTCGCTTTGTCTTTTTTTCACGAGCTTCATTTGTTACCTTTTTCCAAGTAAGTTTTTTTCAGATTACCAGCTTGCGGGAATTTTGTACAGTGATTAGCTTAAATGGAAAAACCCCCCTCGATTCTTTCGGGGAATCGATTTAGCTTATTGTCTGACGATATGTTAAATTCCCCGAAATGCAAACGCAAAAAATCTTCGAATGCAAAAGAATCCTTCCCTTCGCTGCCAATACCAACGAAAAACCACAACCAAAGTGACCCGAAATTTGTTGTTATAAAATCTACTGACAGCTCTCATTCGCTCTCTAAATACAGCGTATTCGCTAAAAAGAAAGCTTTAGATGGAATTAGTACTGAATACAGCTCAGTTAGCATTCTGCGTGATGGAAGTCTTCTAGTGCTCACTAAATCTAACAAAGTGGCTGAAAAGTTTTTGAAATGTAAGAACTTCGGCGGCTTATGCCCTGTATCAATCGATTTGCACGGAACTCTTAATACTTGTAAAGGCACAATATTTGACCTTAACCCTGCCAACACGGACGAACAAGAAATTCTTGATGGCCTCAAATCCCAAGGAGTTGTTGCTGTCTACAAATTCACCAAAATCCAAAACGGAGAAAAAGTCCCGACTGGCCGCATTGTTCTCACATTTAATCTTTACAAAGTACCTGCTGATATTGACATTGCTTGGTACTCAGTAAAAGTTGAAGAGTATTTCCCCACACCCATGCGGTGCCTCAATTGCCAACTGCTTGGACATACCACAAAAAAGTGCAACAATAATCGTACTTGCGAGACTTGTAATTTCCCCCCACACCACCCTGAAGTATGTTTACGCACAATGTGCGCTAATTGTTTGGGCGCTCATTCAGCATCCTACAAAGATTGTCCACTGTACGAACAACAAAAACAAATACTCAAAATTAAAACACAAAACAAATGTAGCTATAATGAAGCTAGACGTCTGTATAAAATACAAAACCCATTGAGCGGTAATCTGAAGCAAACTTACTCTTCGGTCACCAAACTCGCATAACTCAAACGTTGATTCTCTTGTAAATAATGGCTACAATGCTACAGCAACATCCCAAAACAAAAACGAAACAAACAGCACATCCGATCTACAAACTTTAATCTCTTCCTTTATAACTACACTCAGCCCTCTTCCCTGCACAAATATTGAATCATATGCCAACACAAACAAACAGCTCACGTCAGCCAGTTCTCAAGCAACTACAACCACTTTACCCACTCAAACCGCGTCATCTGTTCCTACTCAAAGCTCTCTTCCCATCACAAGCCATAACATCTCAGTTAGCACTCAAAACGACTCCACCACCCCAAACTGTTCTCAGTACTCCTCATCTCTTTCAGAACACCATATTTTAACACAACATCACTCACTCACTCACATCTCCCAGCATCACGTAGAACACGTCAACACAGACAATTTCAGCAGAAAAAAACCAAATACCCACTCAAGCAATCTTAGTGATCATCCCGACCACTTCCCTATAGTATGCTCTATCTCATTGTCAACTCCAAATACCCCAATCCACTACAAATCTTTCAATTATAACACTGCCAAAGCAGACTGGGCAAAGTACAAGGATACGTTGCTCTCAAGTAGGCTACCGGACGCTGATGTACACAATACCAACAAGGAGGCGGCTAGGATCCAGAAAACCATACGAAACGCTGCGAACTTTTCAATTCCGCATGCTTCCACCCGTTTACCAGGAAGAAAAGTACCCTGGTGGACCCTAGAACTTAATACTCTCCGTAATATGAATCGTTTTATTTTAAATATTCCAATGTATAGTTTTTGTTAATGCAGATAGTGCGGATTTAACGTTTAATTTACGATTGCANTTTTCCAAGTAAGTTTTTTTCAGATTACCAGCTTGCGGGAATTTTGTACAGTGATTAGCTTAAATGGAAAAACCCCCCTCGATTCTTTCGGGGAATCGATTTAGCGTATTGTCTGACGATANCAACAATAATCGTACTTGCGAGACTTGTAATTTCCCCCCACACCACCCTGAAGTATGTTTACGCACAATGTGCGCTAATTGTTTGGGCGCTCATTCAGCATCCTACAAAGATTGTCCACTGTACGAACAACAAAAACAAATACTCAAAATTAAAACACAAAACAAATGTAGCTATAATGAAGCTAGACGTCTGTATAAAATACAAAACCCATTGAGCGGTAATCTGAAGCAAACTTACTCTTCGGTCACCAAACTCGCATAACTCAAACGTTGATTCTCTTGTAAATAATGGCTACAATGCTACAGCAACATCCCAAAACAAAAACGAAACAAACAGCACATCCGATCTACAAACTTTAATCTCTTCCTTTATAACTACACTCAGCCCTCTTCCCTGCACAAATATTGAATCATATGCCAACACAAACAAACAGCTCACGTCAGCCAGTTCTCAAGCAACTACAACCACTTTACCCACTCAAACCGCGTCATCTGTTCCTACTCAAAGCTCTCTTCCCATCACAAGCCATAACATCTCAGTTAGCACTCAAAACAACTCCACCAACACAAACTGTTCTCAGTACTCTTCATCTCTTTCAGAGCAACATATTTTAACACAACATCACTCACTCACTCCCATCTCCCAGCATCACGTAGACAATTTCTGCAGAAAAAAACCAAATACCCACTCAAACAATCTTAGCGATCATCCCGACCGCATATTATAGGTTATTTTTTTGTCTTAAAATAACCTAATAGTATACAACTTTCGTATATATAGTTAGTTGATGATCCTCAATATTCTCCAATGGAATATGAAAGGATATTTTAACAACTACATAGAGTTAGAAACTCTAATAAAAGATCGCAAACCTCAAGTAATTTGCCTCCAAGAAACTCATCTGAAACACAATTTTATACCTTACACCCCTAAACAATACGCAGCTTACCTGCACAACTTCCCTCAAATTAATCATTGTAAGCAAGGTTGTGGATTACTCATCCATAAAAACCTCTCTCACAAAAGGATAAGCATCAATTCAAACATATCAGTAATAGCTGTCGAAATAAAACTTAAGTAGCCAATCACAGTATTCTCCATTAACATTCCTCCCGAACAACACTTTTCGCATTCCGATCTACACAATATTATCTCTAACGTCAATACTCCAATAATACTCTGTGGTAACTTTAATAGCTGGAGTCCACTATGGGGTTCACCTAAGGCCAATCGCAGAGGCATGGTAATTGAGGACTTTGTACTTAGCTCAAACCTATCTATACTTAATGACAATAGCCCAACTCACTTCTCCACACACAAAACCTTTACTCATATAGACTTAACATTATGTTCATCACAACTACTTCCGCTTTCCTCATGGTTTACACTAGACGATTTACACAACAGCGACCACTTCCCTATAGTATGCTCTATCTAACTGTCAACTCCAAATACCCCAATCCACTACAAAACTTTCAATTATAACACTGCCAATTCAGACTGGGCAAAGTACAAGGATACGTTGCTCTCAAGTAGGCTACCGGACGTTGATGTACACAATACCAACAAAGAGGCAGCTAGGATCCAGAAAACCATACGAAACGCAGCGAACTTTTCAATTCCGCATGCTTCCACCCGTTTACCTGGAAGAAAAGTACCCTGGTGGACTCCAGAACTTAATACTCTCCGTAATGAAAAAGTATCTGCTTGGAGGAAATATCGTAGATTGCTTTGTGCTTCAGATCTAATTTCCTACAAAAAATGCAACGCTATATTTAATAAAGAAAAAAAATTAGCAAAACGAAAGAGCTTCGAGAAGTTCACAAAAACGCTTAATCCCAACTCTCCAGTCGAAAACATATGGAAGGGTATCAAAACTTTAACAGGAGTATATACACCCAAATCACTCCGGTCTATAACCATAAACAACAAAGTCTTCACCAGTCCGTCCGACATTTCGACAGAATTTTCCCAACACATTTCTAAGGAATCAGAAACATCTAATTTCCCTCCCCAATTCACACAACTAGCAGAAAATATTCCGCTCATGACTGCCGCCGATAGCCCAGATCGTTTAGCCCAACAACTCGAAAGTGACATAAATGCTAACGAACTAGAAGCTGCTCTTAAAGCAACTAAAGGCACCACCCCAGGGTTTGACAAAATAAATTATCAAATGCTACGGCATACTCCTGAACCAATCAAACACCGCCTGCTCCAACTTTACAACTCAATCTTGAGCACTAGGGTGACCCCACAAAGTTTTAAGACAGCTGTCGTCGTTCCAATCGCCAAGCCGAAAAGAGACCTTAGTACTATCGAGAGTTATATCTCTCTTATACCATGCATAAGCAAAGTCATGGAGAAAATCATATCAAAAAGACTGATGTGGTATTTAAATAAAAAAAGCCTACTATCTCCTTTTCAAGTCGGTTTCAAATCCGGTACAAGCACTTTAGATGCCCAGATCTTCTTGGATCACCACATCTCAAAAAATCTCTCCACAAGAAATCATACCTCCATACTCTCAATTGATTTCAAAAAGGCTTTTGAAAAAATCGGTTGCCACGCTGTGTTGAAAAAATTGCAAAAATGGAAACTCGGCCCAAAAATATTTAACTATGTTAAATCTTTCTTAAGCAACCGAAAATTTCGTTGCAAGATAAACGGCACTTTGTCACCCACATTCCCATTGCACAATGGTATTCCCCAAGGGTCACCCCTTTCGGTAACCCTATTTCTTATAGCATTCGAAGACCTAAGCAAACTTTTAACTGAACAAAGTAATATCAGGCATTGCCTATATGCTGATGATCTTTATTTAATATGCAATAAGAAAACTGCATCCGACATCCTTAATGACTTCAACAACGCTCTAAGAGCCATTGAAAGTTGGTCGCAACATTCCGGTGCTCTCATTTCACCTGAGAAATGCAAGCACCTGCATGTTTGCAGAAAACACAATTGCCATCAATTAAACATTAAGTTTAACAATTTAACGATATCAAATGTTGAGTCTGTAAATATACTAGGTGTTATATTTGATCATAAACATAGTTTTAAGTATCACTGTATTAGTCTAAGAAATGCACTAACTACCAGGCTTAACATAATAAAGTATTTAAGTTCAAGAAAAAGCTTTGCTCATACTAACACTCTACTCAGCATTACTAAACTCACAATTCAAAGCAAAATAGACTACGGACTACAGATATACGGGAACTGCAGCAAGGCTTCTCTTAACAAAATCAAAGCACCGTTGAATGCCGCAGTAAGGCGGAGCCTAAGAGCCTTCACGACTACTCCTATAAAAAATCTACTTGCTGAAGGAGGTTTTCATTCAATCGAAGACCGGTTGCAATACTTACGTAGTCGCATTATCTATAAACTATAATGCAACAGAAACAATATTCTACACCACGACATTCGCCTCCTGAAACAAAGGAAAACTTGTATGTCACACAAATCGGCCTTGCACGAAGTTAATGAGCTTTGAAGATACTTGAATTTGGATGTATCGCCAATGAAATTCGCATCAACCAAACTTCCACCTTGGCTGCTTAACAAAAAACGTTTGTTAATGACTTAACCTTTTTACGGAAAGAGGCAACCAATAATTCTGTGTATCAAAAATATTTTTACAGCATAGCAAAACCTTTAAACGAATGCGGATGGACGTTTGTTTTCACAGACGGCTCCAAACAAAACGAAACAGTTTCATTTGCAGTGACTGACAGCAACGGAAGTACGCTATCATGTGGCCTTCTTCCGTACTTTGCCAACGTTTTTGACGCCGAACTACAGGGAGTTTTATCTGGCTTACTGATTGCCAAAGATACCAAAAAAAAAAACGTTATTTGTACTGATAGCTTATCCGTATTTAATGCTGTGAAAGCTATACACTTTGAGAAAGACCCTATATATCGGGTACAACAAATGCTTATAGGCCTCTCACCGAATATAAAGCTGATGTGGGTTCCCGGCCACGCGGGTATCACCGGCAACGAATATGGTGACAAAGCTGCAAAACTTGCTTTAAAA